GGAGCATTGGCTCGAATTGTGATACGAATATTGAAAGTATACGAAATGACTTGATTCTTTGGAGCGTTGGCTCAAAATAGTAAAGTGAATTATAAGATAAGGAAAGTAAGAAAGAGAAAGTGTTGTTGATTATTCCCTTGCCGGGACGTTTGGTTGAACCTGTTGGATTCTTTCCCTTGCCGGGATGTTTGTCAAATATTTGCTTATTTTAATGCCCCTTTATTGTGACTGTTGTTTGGGGAGTCGGACTGTTAAATGATATTGAGGATCGGGTTGCGCGCCGCAACAATGATATTGAGGATCGGGTTGCGCGCCGCAACAATGATATTGAGGATCGGGTTGCGCGCCGCAACAATGATATTGAGGATCGGGTTGCACGCCGCAACAGTAAAAGGTGAGGATCGGGTTGCGCGCCGCAACAATGATACATGGTAAATGATATGGGTCGGGTTGCACGCCGAACAGTTATTAAGGCTATGTGTTTGTATTTGAGTATTGATTCCTTGTTCATTGTGAACCTAAGTTGTTTTAGTTGTTACTCTTGATTGCTGTTAATACTGTATCTCCCCTTAGCATGTCTCCCCTCCCATGTTGTTAATTACTTGGTATTCGTTTTCTGCTGTATATTTGTAACTGCACAGGTTTATGTGATGTCCAGTCTAGCCTCGTCACTATTTCGCCGGGGTTAGGCTAGACACTTACCAGCACATGGGGTCGGTTGTGCTGATGCTACACTTCTGTGCATTTTTGCACAGGTCCAGGTTTTGAGGAACAGCAGCAGCAGTAGTTCGGAAGCAGGCGATTCATATTCACGAGACTGAGGTAGCCTTGCAGGCGTCCGCAGGCCCGGCGTCTCTTCTCATTGTTTTCTTTTAGACTGTTGCCTCCTTGTTTCGAGACAGACAACTGTTATATTTCTTTCAGACCTTTGTATTTAGTTTATCCTTAGTGGTTCGTGAGTAATGTGACACCAAATCTTGGGTAGAGGTTGTTTTTGACTATTCCGCGTTTTAAATTCATCATTTTAAGACAGACTTCCGCTATTGTTCTTATTAGACTTTATGTTCTATATTGATGTTATAAACTGTTAAAGATAATTGCTAGTGATGGAAAGGTAATTAAGTTGGCTTGCCTAGCTACCACGAGTAGGCGTCATCACGACTCTGATGGTGGAAAATCCGGGTCGTGACAGGTTAACATAACAATAATAATAATAATAATAATAACAAAAATAATAATTATTATTATTATTAGTCGTTGATACCACACCCTTTTGATACAAGAACCTGCATTTATCTCTTAATAGGGAAAATTTATTTATAAAGTAAAGCCTCCTTGTGGCAGCGGGGTTAAGCATTGATTCCTTCCCTAATATATGGAGTAATTAAAATAAAAATTGAATAAATAATTAAAAACCGAATCTCCTCAAAAGCTATATATGAGCTGAACACGTCCAACCCCGTACAGTTTGGATGTATATGCATGTCATTGCAAATCTCTTAAGCCAATTAGAAACCTGAATGTATACACTACGTTCTCGCCAAACATTCATGACAACACTTAATTTGCCGAATTCTTGTTCTTTGTTTTTCCCGTTGCAGTTTTTTTCGCTATAAATAGCATCGCATATGGGCATATTTTTTCCAAGTCTCTTTTAAATTTTTTATCCACCTAAGAGCTTCACTAAATTATAGTAACAATGACACTGTTAAGTGTTCAAGAATTGGCTTTTCTTTTTGGCCTTTTAGGTACGTTAATGCACCTTAATTAGTTTAGTCACTACCATTTTAAACTTTAATCTCTAATTAAACTTTATTGCTTATGGTTTCTATTTTTCTACAGGTAATATTGTTTCATTTATGGTGTTCTTAGCACCAGTGTAAGGCAACTCTTCTTCATCTCTCTCTCTCTTTTTTTTTTTGAAGAATTTTCTGGATATTTACATTGCTCTTTTTTTTTTCGTTTTGTTTTTCAGTCCAACTTTTTACAAAATATACAAAAAAGGATCATCAGAAGGGTTTCAAGCGATACCATATGTCGTTGCATTATTCAGTGCAGGACTATTACTATACTATGCTTATCTCACAAAAAATGCCTTCCTCATCGTCACCATTAATGCCTTTGGATGTGTTATTGAATTAACTTACATATTCTTGTTTCTCTTTTATGCTTCCAAAAAGTCCAAGGTATAAACTCATCTCTCCCATCTTGCTCCATCCAATTTCATTTTATGTATCTTAGTTTGGCTGAGCAAGTATTTTAAGAATGTGAAAGAAGACTTTGAATCTTGTGGTGTTTATAACATTCCAAAAATACCCGTTAAATCTTGTGGTTTTGAATATTTGGAGTGTAATTAAAGGTAAATTTAAAGAGTTAGAATTAAAAAGTTATTAAATATAGAAAGAGACATTCTTCTTTTAACGGATTAAAAAAGAAAGTAAGACGCATAATTTGAAACAGAGGGAGTAACTTATATACACTATAATAGTATTGTAAGAAGAAGAAGAAGCATGTTTAATATTTACTTCCTTTTAAAACTCGAATTTACAGATGACAACAGTGTGGCTGATGCTCTTGGACGTGGGAGCGTTAGGAATTGTGATGCTATTTTCTTATTTATTTGCAAAAGGCACCAAAAGAGTAGAAATAGTTGGATGGATTTGTGCTATTGTCAATATTGCTGTTTTTGCCGCTCCTTTAAGCATAATGGTATAGTATAAATTTCATTCTCAAATTGGACTATTAATATATCATATATATTTGTTTGTTTTTCTCCTCTATTGAAGAATTAATTACTTTTTGATTCTCAATATTTGTGTTGCAGAGGCAAGTAATAAAAACGAAGAGCGTAGAGTTCATGCCCTTTACTTTATCATTATTCCTCACTCTCTGTGCCACGATGTGGTTCTTCTATGGATATTTCAAAAAGGACTATTACATTGCTGTGAGTGAACAATAAGATCATATTCTTCTTTCTCCATATTTTTTTTTCTTTTGGATTTTAAGTTATTTATACTGATGTTGTATTCACCTACTCCCTCCGTTTCAAAAAGATTATCTTAATTTGACTTGGCACAAATTTTAATAAAGAAGAGAAATTTTTTGAGATATATGAGGTCTTAAATAAGCCATAATATTTGCGTGCCTGAATTTTTTTTGAAAGTTATGGTTTGAAACCTATCATATCACTTGTGTGACTATAAATGCTTCTTGTTAAGGAAATATTGAAAAGTGTTTCAATCTTTTTGAAACGGACTAATAAAAAAATAGTCTCGATCTTTTTGAAACAGAGGGAGTATAATTTTATTATAATTTCTGTTCCTATATATTAATTCGGGATATTGGTGCAGCTTCCAAACGTGCTGGGATTTCTGCTTGGAATTGTTCAAATGATACTATATATTGTCTACAAATATGCGAGGAGAAAGTATAATGGAGAATGGGAGCTTGAAGGAATTGACATTAATATCAAGACAGATGGTAATTTTGAAAACAAAATAGTGAGCTCAATGGAGAAGCCTTCTTTGGAGAATGGGCATCAAAGTAACCAAGAACACAATAGGGATATGACGAGCGTTTTGACTTTGAAGTAAAGCGGCGCGAATTAAAATTAGTCCGACTAATATATTTACAATATTATTGAAATATACTAGTACTAAAAAAAACGTTATTTTATGTTTCTGTCTAAATTATAAAGTGGTCTTGTCCGTTCCTTTATCGGAAACAACCTCTCTATCCCAGGATAGGGGTAAGATCTGCGTACACACTACCTTCCCCAGAATCCACTATTGTGGAATTATATTGGGTTGTTATTGTCTTGACCGCTCCTCATCTTGAATACATGCCCTTGTGAATGTATCACTCTTTTAAAAGTTAATGTATGGGTGGGGATCAACCTATTTATTAATCATGTACCACACTATATCTGATTTAAATAAAAATAAAGAATTAAGTATTTCCCTTATGGCAGCTTAATACAATCTTTTAATTTGCATGGTTAAGGTTGTAAATGTTCGATTAATCGAATGAGAATCAGAGGAAGAAGAGCACAAGGGAATGAGGGATTAGCTGGGTATCAACGGCCAAAATTAGGAATAAAAATATAAAAAGTAGAAATAAAAAACTGTTAGAATTAGACTAAACACAACTAAGTGTAATCAGCCGTAACACCCAATGAGAAAATGACAACTATACATGTCAGTGTGTATAAATAATGTTTAGGACAACTTAAGGGGCAATTACTTATGTATTCCCAATTTCTTTTTTCTCATAATGTGCAGCTATACAAGTCCTCCTAACCAACTGTTTGCTTTTGATAGCTTGGTGGTGTCATGACCTAATATCCCAACCTCGAAGTTGTGATAGCGCCTAACATCCAACCAATTTTAATAGTTAAAAACAAGAAATTGATATTCAACGAGAAATAAATGCCAAATCTAACACAGTGCTAATATAAACCACGTGATAATATCTACTCGCAGAATTTCTGAATCAGAGTACACGAGAAATTAGAAGTCTACAAACATAGTATGAAATAAATACAACTGTTCGAAAGAGCTAAACAGTAAAAGTTGGAATGGAAGGGGACTTCAAGGTCTGCGAACGCCAGCAGATCTACCTTGAGTCTCCATATGAAAATGATCCGAGCCGACGCACCTCAAGCACCGCTGGGACCAATACCAGTATCTGCACAAGAAGTGCAGAAGTGTAGTACGAGTGCAACCGATCCAATATACTCCGTAAGTGTCGAGCCTAACTTCGACGAGGTAGTGACGAGGCTATGACATGACACCTACATAATAAAACCTGAACAAGTACATATAAAGCAACAAACTAACAATAAAATGATAAATACTAACTGGGAGGGGACATGCGAAAGGGGACATGGAAAGTACGAAATCACGAAATAACATCTTTCGAATTAAGCAACAATATGACCAAGTAAATCACCAAAATCGGAAATCAAATAAATCGATAATATGAAAACTGCACGGCATCACCCTTCGTGCTTTTACTCTCGTCCTCACCGTGCAATAATATGAATATATTGGCACGGCATCACCCTTCGTGCTTTTACTCTCGTCCTCACCATGTAATAATATGAATGAAATGGCACGGAATCACCTTTCGTGCTTTTACTCTCGTTCTCACTATATAATAATATAAATTCGAGTAATAAACAATGCGGGGAATAATTTAACTTCAAATATGGTGCCATGATATCATGCTTCAACTTCCAAAATATTCAACATCTTTAAAATAAGCAATAAACACAAAAAGAATAACTAAAGAAGTAGTAATCTAACATAAGCATGAATAACATAATTAACGAAATAATATAATTCAAAGAAACAAGTTCCACCCGCATGATTTAATCCAATGACAACGCATAAGTATGTACTCGTCACCTCACATATACATTTGTCCCAACATATAAAACATGTAGCAAATAGATCAACAAGTCCTAATTCCTCAAGTCAAGGTTAACCACGACACTTACCCTACTCTGCAACCGAATTAATGCTCAATCGCGGCTTTTCCTCTAGATTAGCTTCCAAACTAATCAGATCTAACCACATATAGTTCAAATCGTTCAAAATAAGCTTTAGAAACTACCCACGAGTGAAAAAGATTCAGTGGAAACGTTAACAAAAGTCAACACCTGGCCCGCTTGGTCAAAATAGACGTACCCACTGCTTCTGCTTTCTGCCATATGGGTTCAGTTTCATAATGTTATTACCGGACTCCATTTGTTGAATCCGAGATTCAGACCAAAACTCAATTACCCATTTACCCTTGAACCCGGTTATGTGATTAGTTTGGAAATCCGACCTCAATTTGAGGTGTAAATCTCAATTTCTCAAAATTTCCAATTTCTACCTAATTAATCCCTAATTTCTACCATGAAAAAGCATAGATTAAAGGTTAAAATCAACGGGTGTTTACAAAAATATAAGGAAACAAATTAAAATCTACTAACCTATAAAGTTGGGATGAAAACCTCTTCAAAATCTCCTCTAAGCCAAGATCAATCTTGGAAATAGTGAAAAATGGGATAATTCCCGATTATTGGACTGTTTAAAAGACTGGGCGTCAGGTATTCATCGCATTCGCGAGACACCTGACGCGATCAAAGCTTTGCGGTCTGAATGGCCTTCGCTTTCGTGATGGCCTCACCTTTTGCGTTTGTGAGCCTGATCTCGTATTCTCGTAGGGTAACACCTGCCTCCCCGAGAACCCCCCTTAACCCATCACGTTCGCGTGTGAACGGTCGCGTCCGTGAAGGGAAATCCCCCCTCACTGTTTCGCGTTTGCGACCGGTTCTCCATGTTCGCATAGAAAAAAGTCCTCCCCTGTTCCAGTTTCCCCTTTGCGAATACGACAGTACCTTCGCGTTTGCGAAGCACAAAGCCTCAGACACCAGCAACTGCAAAAACCAGTAACTTTTCAAGTTCGACATAGTCTGTAGCTTATCTAAAAGTCACCCGAGCCCCTCGGGTTGCAAACCAAACATGAACACAAGTTTAATAGCATCATATGAACTCGCTCGCGCCATCAAAATACCAAAATAATACCTAGAACTATGAATCGGACATCAAAATGCATGAAATTTTTAAAGAAACTCAAGAACTTCCAAATTCACAACCGAGCGTCCGAATCCTATCAAATCAACTCCGTTTTGCATCAAATTTTGCAGATAAGTGTTAACTAGTAAAATAAACTTATACCAAGTTCAGGAACCAAAATTCGAACCCGGATTCATAAATTCAACGTACGGTCAAACATCGAAAATCTTGAAACCTACAAATTACTAGTTTTCAACAAGTCACGTCAAATCAAGTTAGGGATTTCCTAATTTAATTTCGAGCATATGCCCAATTCTAAAATCAAGATACGGACCCATCGAGATCGTCAAAACACCAATCCGGAGTTATTTATATAAAATATTAACCGTAGTCAACTCAAGTCATTTTTAACACACATAACAATATTGAAATGACGAAACGCACCTCAAATCAAACTTAATGATTTTTCGAACTTTCGACTTCCAATAACTCACGCCGAAACATATCAAATCAACTCGGAATGAGCTCAAATTTTGCACACAAGTCTTAATACATCATACGGAGCTACTTGTGCCCCCAAACTAGCAAGCGAAGTGCAAATACTCAAAATGACTGGTCGGGTCGTTACATTCTCCCCCACTTAAACATTCGTTCGTCCTCGAACGTGCCAAGAGTTGTTCCTATGCCGTCAAATCACCGAGTAACCTTACCATGCCCATACCCGGGGGTGATCCCACGTCACCCTATCCCATATAGATCTGATAACACAACATGACTGAAATTTCTTAATCCGACCTAGCCCATAAGCCTTAGAATCCAATTTCCATATCCGAAATTTTCTATAAGATCAGAATCTCGCATCTACACTCTGTATAAGTCTGAACAAGCTGTATCAAGCCATAGCCATAACTCGAGATGAAATCACATGATATACCATATAACTCAAACACTCATAGCGATAACTTCTAATCACAGTAGCTGCTCAAAACAACCCAATACCGGTGATAAACCTCTTATCAAACAAAGCCTCGTTCTAAAAACTTCATCTACTACCAACGATGAAAGAAACATGCATAAACTCATAGCCATTCGTCAGACCAACATGTTATGGAACTCCCTCTCCTTTGATAGGAACTATAGCAATTTCTAAGCCGATCAACATCAATATCCTTCCAAATATACCGCAATCTGACCCGATAGCACCATTCTAGGTACGATGACCTCATCCCATCTAACACAATCACTCTGTGACTTGACACATTAATACAGCTTAAAGCCACAACCCGTGCACCAAATAGCAATATTCTAAATATACTCAATCCTGAAAATGCCTCAAACGAGATGACTGTCCCGCCATCTTAACAAGTACCATCACAACACCGTGCTAAGAGCCTAGCACACACCGTAGAACCAAAACACACGAATCCCACACGAAGGATCATATCTCAACATAACTTTGCTACAATGTGTGACCCCATCCAAACGCCGGTCCAATTTATGTTCCTCGAGCCGCCTTGCTCAAAATCAATAACCACACAAAATTTGACATCAAGTACCCAAAGTGCATTACCATAACCACAGAGAGCAAATAACACAATACCACGACCCGGAAAGGACATAGCCAACGCGCAATCAATCATGCAATACCCAAATACTCATCCCGCTCAAATCCCGATATGAAGCCCAAATAGAACCACACCATGTTTGCGTACAACCAACGAATCACAGCCCTCTGTAGCATAGAAGAGTAACTCACAGATCATCTCAGAACACGAATAAGCTTAACAACAACCGAATGGCACATCCCTCAACAATAATAGTATGGAGCCAACCAATCTGACTCGGTGCAGAACACACATCCATATCAGGCCTACCAATGAACCCAAATCAACTATCGTCACCCACAATAGATGAATAACCCTCCGAATGTCCACAATGACTGAATCTCAACACATACTATCCTCTTACTAGCTTTGGCCACATTTTCACAGTCCAGAACCACGAAACAATCTGCTCTTGAGAACTCCCAATCTCCAAATACGTAGAACACATGAATCACTATATTTGATCTCAACTCACTGCCTGAATGTCTAACACATCTCTCTTACACGATCATCCCGCGAGGAATACTTGTATAATTATTCCGTGCCACAAAGCAAAATTTGAACACCAACAGTCGATCAACTAGGAGAGTGCCGAAATACCAATGAAGTATCCATAAATCAAAAAACATCCCCCCTTCTGAAATGTATACTCTCATCAAGCCATACCAAATAGTAATGTTATTTACCTAGTCATCTGAAACAGTCCATGTTGCCTAAGGACTCATGACCTCCCCTCAAAACTGAACCGTGATCTTACACATGCAAATCTCAATCGTACACAACACACCACATAT